CCTTAACTGCGATGTCATTTGCGACCGATGAAGAAGCTGAACGGGCCAAACGAGTGGGTCTTGTTTTTGGATCAGTCTTCCACCAGTGAAAATCCGTCTAGTGCAGGCAGACAAAATTGGTCCTTATTTTCGTTGAATCGCTCTGATAATTTTCATGGTAATTTTTCGCCATTGGGCTCAATTAAGATCAATATTTTGGGAATAGTACAAATGAATGTATACCTTGACTCACCTTGACTCTCACTATAGCATATAAATTTGCACATTTCACCTCTTGAATAGTTTCAGTTTCAGTTTTCACAACCATTAACCGTGCATTTTGGCGAGCCGGTTTTGGTCGCAGCCACATAACTTCCCATATGATTAAAGGAGTGAAGAGAAGATAGGAGTATTCAAATCAGTGTCAGAGTGAAAAATAAAATTAATGAAGACTGAGTCTGCAAAGAAATTAAGAAGATGCAAGAACGCTGCTGTTGAGGACTCTCAGTCATATAAATCAGCGTTTCTAATAATTGATTACGCTAATCCGGATGTCCCCATCCAGAAAGCCTAATACAGCAAGCCTTCTGGTCTGGGTTTTCATGTCCTTATGCCAGGTCTAAGGTTGACCACCTTTTCCATTTTTTCCACTCAACACTTTCCCCGGCAAGCAGCGTGCGCGGTGGCAATCTATTTGGCGACATGCTCAGCTCATGCCTCAACCAACGCAGTCTACGGTGCTCGACCACTTGCTCCAGTGGATGACCGCGAATACCTAGAACTCAACGCCAACGTCAACATTGCTTGTCCGGTATCCCAACCAGACTCGTGCAATGCGACGTTGACGGCGATGTTCGTACACCGACAGTCAATCTTCATCCTGTTTGCGTAATGACTATAGCAGCATTGTTCGAACTGCTATGGCTTACACTCGACCCTTCACGGGCAGTCGGATGTCGCGTCGGCACCACTGATGTCTCAAGTTAGCGAATTCCAATACGCGCTGACACGTCCTCCGTGAGCTGTAGCTGTCCAGGTAGCACAGTGTTTACTTGCTCTGTTGATTCTCCAATGAGAGTGATTTTAGGAGCCGGACCAAACCAGCTCTGTAGCAAAATTTTATAATTCGAAGCTGCAGGAAATGTAGCAAACATAACTAAACTCGCACTATTAATAAAAGCTTGCAGCTTACATGGATCTTCAGCTGACAGCACCATGTCGTCTGCAAACTCCAAATCCGACGGTCTACCACCACAGAGCAAATCGACGCCACTATCCTTGCATGAGGTCGGGGCTGTTTCCATAATCAAATATGTAACGCAGTTAAATAGAAAACTCAGATAGTGGGCAACGCTGCAATATCGCTTTGTGGTGAACTTGAGCATAACATACCCTAAGTTTGTACTAGGCTTCGAGTATTGGTGTAGGGAGAACGCAAAATTGAAATAGAGGTCTGAAGCACACCCTTCAAAGAAGACAGCGTATATATATATATATATATATATATATATATATCACGTTAGCTGAAATCAAGCAAATACATGCCTTAGTGAACTGCGACTATTTAGCGGATAAACCCCTTGCAGTTGATTGAACGGTTGAACTCTTTTTTAACGGTATTACCTATACCCTTTTCATGTAAGGCGTGTGCCAATTGTTGATTTCTGAGGAACTATGGAAGTTGGTCCCTTTGACTTCATTACGTGGTTGGCTTTTGACACATGAAGTTCACTGTTTTTCTCAATGAACCATCGATGAGCTACACTGTGTTCTCTAAAGTGCATGGGTCCCTCAGATTGTCATGACATTCCAGTGTTGGGTGTCGTGTGCGAAGTAAATTAAAAAATACTTTCCTCACCATAAATTTTCTAGTTTTGAGTACCGTTCTTAATCGTCTATGTGAAACTTTTGATAGTAAAACATACACTTTCGTTAAGGTAAATCATTTTTTGCAGGGGACAGTTTCTGTACTAAGAAACATCGTCTGAAATGACTATACTTTTTTTGTTTCGGCCTACAAACGAATGTATTGACTTAAAACGAGACAACCGTTGCGTATTTTTGCACCATAGTGACGCATAGTGACGCGTGTGTGGTTCGTTTGACAGTTTGAAATTGCCCTCCAGGGCACATCTGCTGAACGCGTCAAATCGGTCATGGCTTGATGCTGTTTAGACGGGATCCCAGCATCAATTTGCGAATTAAGCGCAACGTCAATGCTGTTCCACACACATATCTGATCCGTTACCCTTCTGTTTTTTCCGACTATTCCCTCATGTTATGTGACCATGTGCACCGTATAGTTCTCCTCAAATAAAACATACCCAGAATAACCTACGGTTTTGAAATCTCGTTTCTGTTCTAGGCATTTAATGCCGTTTCGTTTTTTGGCATGAGTGTTGTTCATTACTCAGGATACAACTTGAATATTCTGATCCTCGTCTCATGTTGAACATTTGGTAAATTGGACATCAAGTGACTCCGTGTGACACGAGGAATGAATAGATTACGATCTGCGCTGTTCTGCTTTCCTCGGCTGAACACGTGACTACTCACTCTACCGGCAGCGACGTTTTGATGTTCGTTACTGATGCCGCCTACAACCGTCGCTTCTTACGGATCCTAGCTTAATTAGCAATTGATCTGGGATAAACATGAGTCTACTACTAATCATCAATCAATAGATTTCTGTTGCGTACCCTGGTGTGGCTTTCGTGCGTCATCGTGCTGTATACCATACACTCCACCATCTGATCGGTCGTCTGTCACCAATTGCTTCTATTACCAGATCAGTTGTGGACTGATGCATTCGCGATCAACGTTGCACATACCAAGGTTACATACTTTCAGGTAGTCATGCTTGAATTGCCTAGGGCACAAAGATGAAAATAAATCGGTCCACTCACCTGAATTTGTCTTACAGTGGAGCTGCGCTCCACTTGTAAAAATCGTTCTGTGCGCCTGAATTTTTCGGGACAATTTTAAACGATACGATGATACGTCTGTTTTGAATCCATTTTCTAAGACGTCTGGGATTGTGGCAACTAGTGGTGAGTAGTATGAAACTCCAATTTCCTAGGCATGCAGATATCCGGATACACGCGGGTCCCCCGAGAATGCGGTACTTGATAAATTCCTAATCATTTTGGTCTCTTGTTTACGATGATTGGACTTTGGCCACGAGCCGTGTTATGTTCCGGGGATAGGATTTCTATTCCACTTTCATTGTTCAGCGAAATTTCAGGCAGAATGTTTTTCCTATTGTGAAAAATTCATGGTCTCATTGAGCTTCATATTCACGCCTATATACCGCTTACAGCAGTGTATAACATGTGTTGAACCACGCGATCGCTCTCACCACTCTTGTCTTTTTGTATTTGGCATAAGTACACGCCAGTTGGCATGTGAACTGTATCACATCCATAGTTGGAACGGATGTCTTTGAAGAAATTGTGCGTTGTGCTCATAGTATTAGATCCGTATAGGAATGTTTGGATTAGCTACAACGAGAGAAAACCAAAAACAACAATTTTCAGTTGACGAGGTTTCGACCCTCTTGAAAGGCCTTTTTCAAGTCAATCTTCAGTTGTGATAACTTGTCAGACTTCTACGTTTGAGATCCGCTTATATACGCGGCTTACACTTTCAGATCATGTGTGTATGTGTCATGGTCCATTTAACTTGCACAACTAGATTGGATTAAAAGTTGCCGATTTTGCCAATCGGCGCAGACCTCGGTGTCAGAAGGAAATGGTCTCCTAGGTTTTTTCGTTTCAATCAGTTTTAGATGTTCCTTTGTCTTGATACCCTTCTGGCTGTTTGTTGCAGTTTTCACTGTGATCTTTCTATCCATCAGGAAGAGCAACGTAGACAGTGGAAAGCTGAACTGGATAAACAAGTGCTGGAACAGCGGATGTTAAAGGAAAAAATCCGACTGGAGGAACAACGTAAAACGGAGGCAATTTTGAATCAGATGCGATTGCAACAGTTGAGCGTACAACCGCTTGCATCAAATCAATCGCCCCTGGGAACAGCTGTTCTTTCGACTAAGTGAGAAATACACATTCTGATTGCTTTCGAGAATGGATATTTTATTTCCATCTCCTAACAGTAGCATTCATTGTATGATGTGTAGAAATTTCCTTCGAGGTATATATATATATATATGTGTTAGTTAAAAATGATTAAAATGCGGATGAAAATGTAAAGAAAAAGTCAGGAAATCAGAGGGGTAGACAGTAAGAGGTATCTTTACGTCGTGCAAAAATAGATCGAAGTTCAGTCGATTGTTTGTGTGTGTGTGGGGGGGGGGAAGAGAATCGGATTTATGTTACTCACTCCCACCATCTTTTTTCCCATTGTTCACAACCAGAACAGGAAGTCTCTCCTGTTTTTTTATCGATAGTTACGGTTACTGTAAACAAGCATCATAAACACATCTAATCATGTGATCTAAATGAGACAAAGAAATACGTTTGGCTGATTATTGAAAACATTCAAGTGCGAATCACTAGTTTGGTCGCCTGTGTAATAACCCAGATCCGTCAGCAGTCTCAAAGAACTTGGTATTTCTCCAAAATGGTTAGAAACTAGTTGCCGGGTGGTAATGGCCCGGAGCTAACGTCAACAATTATCACCTAGAAGGACTTGTGTTCGAATCACACCACCACCACCGCTTGTCTGTCCCCACTTGTGTGTTCTGTGGCAGCCCTTGGATTGGCCACTTCCCCCTTCCTGAGAATTGTATCTTTCTCTACTCAATAAAAGGAAGTAATATGAATACGAAAAAAATGGTTCACCGGAGTTCCAGTTCATCAGCTGTGGCTGCTGATGAAAACCGCTTCCGATAGTCGTGATAAGGTGGTATATCAATAGATTAATTACTTGGTGGAAATGAGCGTCACTTGATTTACTTGTATTTGATGACCAGTTCTCCTAATTACTCTTCCTTGTGTACCAGAGCACTATTCATGAATATGTATACTGCTGGATCCGATTGAGCGCTTTTGCAGACACTGAAAAGTAGTGACCAGTACTTTTTCATACTCGCAGCACATTGACTCATCCTGTTGTCGGACCGGTCGCTCCACATCCATCAGCCAGTCACTTCACTAACACAGCCTTTCTACCCACCGCGATGCTTGTTCCGAATTCCGTGACCGGTGTGTCTGTTGATCCCGCCTTGACAACTGGCGTCTCCGCACCCATTCTGAGCAACTCCTTAGTTCCAACAGAGTCCTCGCAACTGACCGGAATGCAAACGACTCCGGTCCCTGCAACTCTTCGAACTGGGTTCAACCGAACACGTGGGTTCACACAACAAATGTACTTCGATTCTGCTGAGAACGCGGAACGCGCCAGACTAGCCTACGAAGCACGAGTAAGTTCATGGGTGTTTTGTCGGTCAAATGAACTGGAATTCAGCCCCCCCCGGTCACTAGCACTTTTCAGCAACGAATTCTAATTCCTCACGAAGGTTCGAAAGGCGCTTCAAATGCTGAAACATCGTGAGGTGTCTCGAATAGACAAAATGGTGGGGATGTTCTCGTAAGGGCTTGCCAAGCCCCTTATGTGGGGCGAATCGATTGCTACAGCCACAGTGAATCTCCTGGTATGTCACAACCCTAAGGAATTCGAAAAAGCGGTTCAATTCCGGGAACTGCGGCATAGCATGTTAGTCAGTAGTAGATTCCGTTAAGTAGTATGAAAAATGTTTATAGAGTTTTGTAGCAAAAACCGGATCGAGTAAAACTACGCTATTTCCGTTTTTTGTTCCCAATATTTATGATCATGTACTGTTTATTTATAACGGAATTTAAATATACCGTCCGGTGTATCCTTTATGCATCCAAGAAATCGAGATCTTTTACAATGCCCTCAGCCTAACGTCGGTACACTACATTCCGTATTCAGTCCTTTTTCAGTTTCAAGTGTCCAGTGCAAGAGAATTTTTTCTAACCCAATTATCGCATATTAATTCCAAATATTCCTTCGTTCTTTTGTAATTTTAAGCGAACCACAGAATTAAGCATATGGCGTCCACCATAATATAAGACCGTTTTCCCTATAATAATCACAGTATGACTGTTAACCCATTTGCCGAAAGCAAGAATGAGCCAAGTCGAACACAGTGAGACCACGGGACAAAAAATCGTATTCGAAGGAAACCACATCATCAATATCTTTCACGGGCTATACTCAGTACATTGACTTCTTCCTCATATTCTAAACTGATTGTTCGCTGTGCAATCTGTTCATCATTTTCTGGTGAAAAATGTGTAGCATTAATTCTGTGAAGGGTTGTGACAGGAATCCCCACGGATGTCATTTCAGTGTTTGTAAATTCACAGATGAAATCAACTGTTTCCAACAGAGGAACACTTGTAAAGAGAGAAACAACATCCAAAGAGAACACCAGTCGGTTTTTAATATTCACGTTGTTGGTTATTTCAACAAACTGAAAAGTATCTCTTAGTGTATGCTTGGTGACAGGTTGACGTATGGGTTCCAAAATTGTAGCTAACCAACGGGCTGCCCGTTGGTTGTTGTTTCTCTCTTTACAAATGTTCCTCTGTTGGAAACAGTTGATTTCATCTGTGAATTTATAAACATTGAAATGACATCCGTGGGGATTCCTGTCACAACCCTTAAAGAACTCATACTTAAATGCACACGAAATGTGCAAGTTTTGTTTAATAATACTTTCTACCGCCAAGTCGATGGCGTTGCTATGGGTTCATCCCTCGGAACTGTTCTCGCGGACATCTTCATGGCCAAGCTGCAGACAACTTCTCCACAGCCATTAGATCTTTTAAACAATATCACCATTACGTGGATCATTTCTTTTGTGTGTCTAACAAGATCACTAATCTTGCCCAAGTGGAGTCAGAATTTAATAACGCACATTCATCAATTAAGTTCACAACTGAACCAGAGGAGAACGATTGCCTTCCTTTTTTGTATGTTCATTTGACCAGGCGCCCCGACGGCTCTGTACAAAGAAAGATATTTCGCAAAGCAACATGGAGTGGACAGTACACAAATTTTAATAGCTTCGTCCCACTCTATCAAAAACGTAACCTTATACGCAGTCTGGTGCAGAGAGCATGGCGCATCAGTTCAGAATATACTTTGAAGGACGAAGTTGAACTAGTGAGGAGAACCTTACTAGAAAATGGCTATCCTGAGAAGTTTATCGACCCTAATTGGACTGAACAGAATAAGCCA